AATGATACCCATACTGTGCTGCACATTATTGACAATATTGAGCTGAAGCTTGACTTTGCAAATTTAAAATCGCAAATCAAATCGCAATATCTGTCAAAAAAATCGCAATTTGATATTTTCCCCCAAATCGCACAGCCCTAGTGGACATGTATTTCACTCAATCTTAACACTCTTGAGCTGCTTGTGGGGGATTCTGTAGAGACGAGCTGAGCAACACTCCCCATTAAAGACCAGGGCATTGAAGGCCGTCGTCCTTGAGTCTTAGCTCGCTACGAAGACTCTAAAGGTATATCTTATCTAAAGGTATACCTGAAGTAGGGCGTGTTCCCCGAACTATACCTTAGGATGTTGCTTAAGGTAAACCTTCTTACGTGCGACGTTAGCAGGTACTGTCCTATATGTTTACTATGTTTAAATTTTGCCATCTTTCCATGAATTATATTAGTGATCATTAAGAAAATACATCTTTTATATTTATTCAGAGGGGGTGTTCTCATTTATGCTGTGCACTGTATATATATATATATATATATGTATACATACACACACACACACACACACACAAAGAAAAACAAGTAGATTGAAAAGAAAAAATAGAAAGCTAGTGTTTGTTTTTTTAAAAATAAAAAATAAGATAAATAGATAAAGTAGAATTAAAATAGAAAAAAAAAGTGCTAGAGTTAGAGGGTCAAATAAAGATGGAACAGATGTGTTTTTAGTCAATTCTTGAAGATTGAAGTTGAGGCAGGTCATTCCACAAGGAGGGAACAGTTATTGTAAAAGTCAGTGAAAGTGATTTTGTGCCTCTTTGAGATGGCACAATAATGCGCCGTTCACTTACAGAACGCAAGCTTCTAGAGGGCACATAACTCTGAAGTAATGAATTTACGTAAAGGGGTGCAGAGCCAGCGGTGGTTTTGTAGGCAAACATTAATTATTAATGTTTGCCTACAAACATTAATACCGTATTGGCCCGAATATAAGACGACCTCAGATGTATTTCCAAGAAAAAAACATCGTCTTATACGGTAATAAATAATTAATTATTATTGAATTGTATGCGAGCAGCTAGTAGCCAGTGCAAATTGATGAACAGAGGTGTGACGTGCGTTCTTTTCGGCTCGTTAAAAATTAATCTTGCAGCGGCATTTTGGATTAATTCAATTGTAGAGGTTTGATAGAACTGGCTGGAAGACCTGCCAAGAGAGCATTGCAATAGTCCAGCCTGGACAGAACTAGAGCTTGAACAAGGAGTTGTGTTGCATGTTCTGAAAGAAAGGGCCTGATCTTCCTAATGTTGTATAAAGCAAATCTGCAGGACCGGGCAGTTTTAGCAGTGTGGTCTGAGAAATTCAGCTTATCATCAGTCACAACCCCAAGGTTTCTGGCTGTTTTTGAAGGAGTTATGGTTGATGAGCCTAGTTTAATTTGCCCGTCTAGTTTCTTATCTGCTTCTTTCTCATTTCAGGTCCAGATTGCTCTTTAAAAGTTCCTTCGGCTGAGCCGTACTGGTTTCTGCCTAACGTGAAGCCTGATGGACAGTCACTAGGCCGGGCTTCCCATAAAGCAGTGGTTCATGGGAAGCTGATGTGGGTGATTGGAGGGTTCACCTTTAACTACAACTCCTTTCAGATGGTTATAAAGTAAGTTCTCCTGCCTGGTAACATCATAAGCCAATATTTTGTACTTCACTTCATGCATCTGCATGCATCATATTACTTGTGTCGGTATGAATTGTTCATGCACTCTTATGTTTTATTTTGTGATGTGATTTTAAATGCAATTTTTAACATTCAGGGTTTGTTGTTACATCCCAGTCACCAGGGGTTGATTACCTTTGACCTCTACCCATAATTCTATATGGCTTTCAACTCTTCAATATCTACTACTTTTATTGCTAAATTCAAAATACTTCATTTAAATGTAAGATCAGAAATTATTATTATATATTTTGTAGAAAAAAATAAACCTTTCTTTGGTTTAATAATTCATGCATCAACAGTGTTTCTAAAACGTACAATAACTGACTTAGGTATTTTTCAGTTTGATGTCAGTAAGAATTTTTTTAATGAATGCTTTTATTTAGCAAAGCCAAGAATGCATTCAATTGCTCAAAAGTGACGGTAAAGACATGCACAAAAGTTATATCTGAAATTCATCAAAAAATCCTGAAAAAAATGTATCACGGTTTTCACAAAATTATTAAGCAGCACACCTGTTTTTAACATTAATAATAATAAATGCACCAAATCAACATATAGAATGATTTCTGAAGGATCATGTGACACTAAAGACTGGAGTAACGGCTGCTAAAAATTCAGCCTAGCCATCAATAAATTACATTTCAAAATATATGAAAATAGAAAAAAGTTTGTTGTAATATTTAATATGAATTGTAATATTTTTACAGTTGTATTTTTTTTACAGTATTTTTATCAACCTCTTTCACAAATATATATATATATATATATATATATACACATACAGTGGTCGGTCGTATAGGCCAGCAGGGCCTTCTCTGCTGGCCCTATAAAAAAAATTTAATTGTGTGAAAAATATTTTTTATTGATTATTTAGGTATCATTTTGATTTGTGTTATGTCCACAAAATTGCCTATGATTAGTTTTGTTGAGGTTGAACTGGAATATCCTACATAAAAAAAGTCTGCGGCCAGCACTACAGATAGTAAGCTTGTTCGAGATGCACTACACTAGCCCAGGGGTTTTCAACCTTTTAGGACATGCGCCCCCCCAAGTTTGTCTAATTTCACTCATGCCCCCCCTACATTTCAGGCGAGGCGAGGCGCATCTCAAACAAGCCTAATGCTAAAGACGTCACATCTGATTTGTAACGAGCATGTGACAGAATCATCAGCCAATCAAATTTTGACGTTCAATCGCAGCAGGCCTTCTGGGTTTAACGAGTGCTTTATTATTTGACGAGTATTGTGTCATGCACATTGTTATGGATGTGTACGTGGTATGTTGATAATACTGTGGTGTGTGGATGTCCAGCATTTGTACAGTTTTGCTGCTATGGGCGCGTCGTCATTTTAGAGTGACCCGCGTATTGGCGGATAGCTTTTACTGATCATGTAGGGAAATTTACTCTGCATTTAACCCACCCTAATCTAGCCTACTGTTGAAATTGTTGATCAGCTGTCATTGCTGTTGAGAGCCTGTGTGCTTCATAATATGCGCATTATATGCGTATGGCTGCGCTAGATGTAACAGAGATGTGTAAGATGTGTGTATGTAGTTTACAGTTACTTACTGAAGGCCCTGACTGAAACCCCACGGTACGCCATGTGTGTGTGTGTGTGTGTGTATATATATACAGGTGCATCTCAATAAATTAGAATGTCGTGGAAAAGTTCATTTATTTCAGTAATTCAACTCAAATTGTGAAACTTGTGTATTAAATAAATTCAGTGCACACAGACTGAAGTAGTTTAAGTAAGTGGTTCTTTTAATTGTGATGATTTTGGCTCACATTTAACAAAAACCCACCAACTCACTATCTCAACAAATTAGAATAATGAGACCATTTTAATTGAGACACTTAAGTTTTTATTGATTTTTTTAATGTATTTTTATCATTGATTGATTTTTTTATTTATGATCCTGAAGGATGACTCATTCTTCCTCAAATCTGGCGAAGATTTTGTACTTTGCTTTATGATCCATTTCTGTGCAGAACATCTCATAATCTTTTTGTTTCCCAAATACAAAAGTGAACAGTTCGGCTGGAGAACTTTTATCATATTCACCCATCCAGCTCTGCAATTTGCATTGGGATGCAATTTGTTGCTCCTTTTCCATTGAAAGGACATTGGGAAATAGAATTATTCCATCCCAGTTTCTCTTGCTACACCAGTCAGCTGCAGTCCTGGCGTCTCTCAGAAGAAGGATTTCCTGCAGTAAATAACAAATATGGTCAAATTATTTCATGTATACTGATGTTAATGCTTCAAACGTGTAGAGTACATAAAGCTGTTACAACATTTTTAAGAAATATATGATCTTTTGTTATAATGAATGCTGTCTATCAGTTCTTGTGTCATTGAAGACCTTAATGGATCTTAATCAAATCCAGTTCCTTCAGAATTAATTCATTTAACTGTTATGTATCATTTATCAGGAATCCCACAGATATTTGCCAGATATTTTATATTACAAAAATGTTATTTCATTCATGTACCATGTTTATATTATTCTCAATTTTTATTATTTTCATGACACATGAAAATTATGTACAATGCATGTAAAATAATCAGCAAAAACATACAAAGCAAAGTCTCAAGGATCATAATTTAAGATGAATGAATTTCTGATGTTTGTGTGTTGTACGTCTTCTGCCATCAGTCGTTGCCTGCCATCAGTCAAGGCAAGGGAGGCAGAGCCTCTTTAGAGAAAAAAAAAACTGGATGAGAAAGTTATCGATATTACAAAAATAAAACAACGCAAGTATTACAAAATGTGACATTAAAAAGTGTAAAAGTCACTAGTTTTTATAAAGTAACTGTCCAACAGCGACACCCGCTGGTAAAGTTAAAAAGAACAGCTGAACATCAGTTGACAAATAAAATATATTGTTTGTATTGTTACTGCCTTTTGTTATTATTTTGGAATAAATGTAAAAATAAGTAAAAACACTAACTTGATGAGATTTATTATTTTTGATAAACAGAATATTACATAGTGTAAAAATACAAAATATAATTGCATTTTGCCTTTTAAATGTAATGTTTATTTAATGCAGGGAGATGACAACAGTAAGGTTTTATATATATATATATATATATATATACACACACACACACACACACAGACACACACATATATATATATATATATAT